AGTGTTCATGCATGACCGGGTGTTAACCACATTTTCTACTAGGAGAGGAAATGCTGGAGTAGATTGACTGAAAATGCCCTATTTTACTGTCATGATGAGTGAATATTGTAGAAATATTCCACACTAAATAGTGACTAAACACGACCCATTAATACATGTTAACCAGGAGTCACTCATTTATAATCGCAACATCGTCTTATAAAATCAACATGCATCTACACTAAAGAGCGGCTATGCGGTGGTTTTGACTACCGTTTTGTCTCATGCTGCGGCACTCTGTCTGCGTCTGAGTAACAAACTAAAAAAAACAACAACAAACAAAAAAGTGCGTAATCCCAACAGACTATGCTCATTTATAATTCCGAAACAGTCAGTAAGTGACAGGTGCTTGGAAACGCTGTTTTGTACTCATTTACTGCCAAGTCTGCTGCGGTGCGGCCAACTGAATGCGCTGCTTCTCTGCCACTCACTGCACAGAACAGACGCCAAGAGAGACGGTACTGTGTGGCAAAAGTCAGACCTCGCACTCCTGAACCATAGCTAAGGTTTATCCAAAAAAGTCGCTAGGTTTATCAGTATGTATATTCTATGGAAAAAAGCCGCTAAAAGGGCCTGAAAGTCGCTGAATATAGTGCTAAAGTCACGCTCGTGTGTGTGAGACATGCGGGAGCTGATGGCAGGGGGCGGTGGATATTTGTGGCGGTCAATGTGGATATGTGGTTCTTCTGTGTCATCACGTTCTATTAGTTCTACAGCTTCGGTTTTGGAATTTTCGCGCTCAGTATCACATACAGCTGTGTCCTTACCACAGTGCAACAGTGAAAAGAAACCCCTCTCAAACAGTGTCGTGTTCCGAACGTTGTTTAAACGACATGCTGCGTATTGCGGTATTTTTAAAATTCATATAAGAAAAATAAACACTAATAAATACAGTATTCGGTATGAACTGGTATACCAACCAGCACTAATACACCATTACCTATATTGTATTGTGTTACAGTTATGGAGGCCCTTCATACTGCCTGCTCTGCCAAAAGTTAGCAATGGTCCTATAGTATTCGGTGTTTAATAAACAGCTATTTTTCTAAATCCTAAAGTGAAATTCAGTGTAGTCCAGGCTGTCAAAAAATAATTGAATTTTGAATATTCGTCAAATTTAAAATAAAAATCCACATTCCAATGCAAAAACGTTGCATTAGAATTTTAGGTGTGCGTCAGGCAGCCTTATCAGTGGCGCACGAGATGCGATGGCGATGTGTCGTTGCATTATAATGTTTTTGTTAGCCTATCCAGTTGAAGCCACTAGATGCGGCGCTGCTACGTTGTTCATTCAAAATATTGTGTTTACATCAAAACCGAAGCCAAGCCGTTCACACAGAACGCATATTTATCGCATTTTCTAGAGGGACATCTACCACCATTGCACTAGCTTCTCGCACGAGAGAGATGCATGTTTAGAAAGCTATGTAAAATTAATGTAAGTTCAACTTTTAAAAAACATGTCTCGAGACTTTATGGCGGTTTTCCCCCATCCCACTACATCTCACGTTTTGTAAAGGAAGAAAGTACTCTTTGTGATTGGTTTTCGGTCCTTTGTATTAAACTATACATACTTGCATGATGCTGTTTTGTTTCTAATTGTTTAAGCAACATTATGCACTTTTTTCAAAGATAGTCGTGTTATTTTATTATTCTTTGAAGAAACTGGCCTCGGGAGAGAAGCCAAAAGCTTTTCTCCCCCCTAACTGAAATTATGCCTCTTTAAATTTGAATATAATTCGAATATTGATAATATTTAAGTAAAAAATTCTAATTTAGTTTTTCCTTTTTTTGTTGGCAATACAAAGCCTTATTATCAGGCATGAAAAAGTCCAGTTGAGTTTTTTTTTTTTCTTTTTCTTTTTTCTTACTTTGTTAGAGTACATCCAAAGACAACACACAACCTTGTGCTTGAGCCCATTTATTTTTCTTTTTGGATATATTGTTACCTTCTGAAATCCATTACATCGTGGAAGTAAAATGGATTGTGAATGCTGGAACATGTTGTGTTGCTCTAGGGAGATCTTCCCTCTAATAAGTGTTCTGCAAGTTGCTTTGGAAAAACGCATGTGCTAAATTACACATTAGTAGTTAGTTACTTCACCTGATCCTGGATCAGCCAGACCAACAGGTGCTCATATATGTACACAGTGATTTGATAATCCTGGGTTTGTGGATTTGGGTTTCATACTGAGTGTTTCTGTAGAAGTAGTGTTAGGCAGTGGTAGCAATGTGTTAGTTGAGAGATTCTGCTCTATGGTTTATATCATAATATTATTAAAAAAGTGTATTGTGTTGCAGACTGGGACTTCTAGTTTGTCGCCTTGTTGCAATTTAACTGATATGTCATGAAACCATCGCAAATGTCTTCAAACCTGTCATTTATAATGCATTACTAAAAAAAGACTGTTTTGTTACATAATTCTCAGATGTCAACTTCAATCATTCAAAACAGATCAAATAAGATTAGTGATATTCCCAAATCTTATTGTCATACTCCTTTGACCTAAAATATTTATTTGAAGTAGGCCTACCCCCTGAATTTAAGTTAATATTTAGTAATTTAACAAATTCATGTGTGCTCGGTTCTCTGATGTTTAGGGGTCACTTGACATGACAGTAAATAAATAAAATATAATTTTTTAGCAGTTTATTTTATTTTTAATTTTACAGTTAATTATTCACTTGCCGCAATTATCAGTGCACAAAGGGTTTTTTTCCCCTTTGCTAGAGTGTCAAATGCACATTTCTACATAGTTTCGTAATATAAAAAAATATATATTTTCCCAAGTTTGTCTAATTTCACTCACGCCCCCCCCAACATCCAACAACCCCCCAAACAACCGACTGTGCTTACAAGAATACTTTTCAAGACAGCCATTGGTATTCACCTGCCGTCTGAGAAGGCTGTCTGTGCACTTCAGGTGTGTGAGCGGTGCGCATAGAACTGGCCTGATCGTTAAGATAATTTTTGGGGGATACGGTGACAGATGGGGGGCTGAAACCACCTAAAAATGGTTTAGAACCGCCCCTGGTATAGGGTGCGTAATTATACTGAAACATAAATATATAACCAGTTTACCTGATTCAATGTGATGACTGAGCCTGTTTCTGAGATGATAACATGCCAATCCGTGGTTGGATTTCCGACACTGCTAATCGTGAATCCTCTTACACTGTCAATAAGCGTGACCAGGGTTGCCAGGTTTTCACAACAAAACCCGCCTAATTTCTTCTCAAAACTAGCCCAAAACTACAAAACGCGGCAAATGTTAAAGTAGCTCAATTCCCGCGGACTTGGCAACACTGAGCGTGACTGATACTCGAGCCAACTCTGCTCTAACTGTCGACTAGCAGTGGGAGTCAGATTGCCCCCTAGTGGATGGCTAAAGATTTGTTAACTCATATTCATAAATCTCTGAATTAACTGATGCTCGCGCCCCCCTTGACAGGTGCTGGCACCCCTCTGGGGGGGTGCGCCCCACAGGTTGAAAACCCCTGCTCTACACTGCACTCAACCTGAGGAATTCCTAAACTTTCAGTCTTTGAGGAGACATTGCTTATTGCTATTACATCACAGACTATCTCACAAGTTTGTTGAGATGTCGGATGAGCTCCTAGGGTGCATGACATCAGCCAAACTGGGCAAATGATTTGGATATCTTTTGAGTTCAGTTACGCTTTATGCTGATTTCAGGCTTTTCATTTCCTAACATGGTGTATTTTTGGAGGCTGTGCTCTCTGTTATGTCTTTTAGAGTTGGATTGTTTTGTTTTATTCAGCTTGTTTATGTGGCCTACTTATTTGAGGAGGTTTTTGAAAACCGGTTCAGGACATTGCATTAAATTGGTTCCGTGTTCTCTCTGAAACCACAGCTCCTTTGTTTTGTGGTCTGATCTATATTACAGATTCACAGGGCAGGTAAAGAAAAGCATGATAGTGTTGCGTAATTGTAAATGCGGTGTGGTTTTTGTTGTAATAATCAGGTGTGAGATAACTCTAAGACCAAATTGGTTTTGTTGAGGGACTCTCGCATTGCCTCTTCAGCACTGGTTGTTGTAGAAATTGGGCTTCTGGGGGAAAATTAGCCAAGGCTGATCATTGGAACTTGTTTTTACCATCTTCGTGGAAAAATGATGCCATCCATTGTTTGCAATCAAGCTACGGTCGTAATGACAATCAAAACATTGATATTTTGAGTTCTATCCCAAGCAGCTTTTGCACGTTGTCAAGTGTTTTGTAAATATCTTAGCAAATGGCCTGAAAGTCAGTTCTGTTATTCTTGACGTTCTATTAGTAAGCGATTTATTCTTTTGATTTGAATCTTTTAATAATTTATTAGACGCAATTGAGGATAAAGCAGTTTGGAATATGGATGGATGGATACAATTTGCAGAGTGTTTATAAACAACAGTTTAGAATATTGCAAAATTTTGATGTAAATATTGTTAGTCATTTCTTTTTCAGTTTGTTGTATCACACAATTCCAAATGGATTCGTTAAATGAATCAGACTTTCCAATGCTAATATACACAATGCAACAAAATAGTTAGGCATACTTGTACATTTTAAATGGATGGTTCACTCCGGAATGAACATTTATTTACTCGCCCTCCACTTGTTCCAAACTTGAGTTTCTTTCTTCCGAAGATATTTTGAAGAATGTTGGTAACCAAACAGTTGCTGGTAGCCATTGATTTGCATAGTATTTTTCCCATACCATTGGAAGTCAGAGTTGGCAACTGTTTGTTTCCCAACATTCTTCAAAATATCATCTTTTGTGTTCAACGGAAGAAAGAAGCTCATACAGGTTTGAAACAACTTCGAGGGTTAGTAAATGACAATTTTCATTTTTGGGTGAACTATCCCTGTAAGACTCCCTTTGTGGTTCAGCGTGATTCATACTTTGTGTATGGAAATGTTTATTGAAGCATGTGTCACTTTCTTTATGGCTGCCCTAGGAACACCATCTCCAGAGGGCGATTTCCGCCCAGCAGGTGTATGGAGAGAAGAGGGATAATATGGTGATTCCCGTCCCAGAGGCCAAGAGCAACATCACCTACTATGACTCGCTCTACCCCGGAGACTTCAAGATGCCAAAGCAGCTCATTCACATACAGCGTGAGTACATGAATCTTAATGAGGTAGTTTTTCTTTAATGAAGGTAATAATGTTTAATGTTCTTTAATGTTTTAGGTAGGGTTGTTATGGAGGACAGGTATTGGAGCGTTTGAATGAAAGTGATTGAAGCCTTTGTTACCGACATCTGTCCGCCAGTTCCTGAACCGCAGGTGTCTTGTTGTTTTTTTGTTCTTCGTGAGTGTTTGTGGATTGCAGGCTGCACCATCTGCCACGTCCTATACATTTGGATGCTTTGACTTCATCTCGTTGTTAAGATGTCCCCAGAACGCCCTTTTCCTTCAAAGATTTTGTAGTGTGTTTATTTGAATGCATGGACCATTCTGTCCATCTTTTTGAGCATCTGTCAACAGCAGGTGATTTCAGAAATCACAGGCCGTCAATATTTACTCTATTCGTCATCATTTATTTTAAAAAAAATGTTCACGTGATGATGAAATTATTAAATGTTGATGAGTCAGTGTCCGTCTATCAGTTGAGGTTTAAGACTCATGATTTTGGTCCTCCTTTTTGTGATTTAATACGAGAAATATTGAATATTTATTAGGAGTGTGCGATATTGACAAAGTAATATCTCAATATTTTCTGGGATTTTATCGATAACGATAATTAGATGATGTTTTGCTGAGTGTGTTATTGTGCTGGTATCTCAAGGACTGCCGTGGACAGCTTTTTGATATTCTTCATATTCTGTGTAGTGGTCAGTTTACACTGATAGAAATTAACCTTTTCCAATAAGTTTAAATTCATTTTTACATTTTATAGGCATTTTTTTCCTTTATAAAGCGCTTTTTTGAGTCAAATTCTTACATTTTAATCAGTGAATTAGAATAAGACGACATTTGGGCTGTTACCAAGCAAATGATATCAGTATCAACAAAATTCATCTTTGCAATGCAGAGGAAACGGAAGCTGCATCTGAAGTAGGGCTGAATGATTAATTGCATTTGCGATAATATCGCAATTTTTCAATCGCAGAGCCTGCGATTACACTCGGTCATTTGACACGCGAGAGTAAAGAGGTGTGTTCAACTTGAAGATCAGATCGGTGTATGACATCAAAGTACGGCGAGAGAAAGCATAAGGAGACGTCCGCGCTCTCTTATAGCTCTCTCAGTACTTTGATGACACACACCGATTGATCTAAGCAGCGCTGCTTTAAGTCGAGCGTGGGCCATCGGCAGAAAAAGAAAATAAATAAAACCGTAAACAGCCAAAGGACGTAACTTAGAATGTGAGATGGATTGGTTTGTGAAAGGGAAGAGAAAAGCCATAGATGAAGTCGCACAGACCCAGGCAGCTGCTGGTCATTCAAAAGCTAAATGCAGAAAATATGATGAGGCATATCTTGCTCTCGGCTTCACTCGCCGTGTCTATACCGCACACTACAGTTATTGCGTCGCGCTGCAACAGCTCTACACTGGACATGACAAAGCGACCGTTGCAAATTATTTTGACTTTGTGTCAGTACATCATAAATAGAACACGGCATCAGTTTAATGTCGGGTTTTGTCGTGTCGCGCTCTATACAGTCTATGGTCACGCTGCGCCGCATCTAGTGTAGACAGTGTCACTGATTATAATGGTTCTACTGTATTTTGCCGCTCGCATCCGGTGTAGTAATAACAGTCATAGAATAATAATAACAGTTATTCTCTATGCTATTTTTCAATGTTTTGCCGCTCGCATCCAGTGCAGTAATAACAGAGTAAATAACAGAGATAGAATAATAATAAGAAGAACAGTTATTCTCTATGCTATTTTTCAATGTTTTAAGTGATGCAGGGGGTTTTTTTCCCTGTAAGTTTTTTTTTTTTAATTAAAAAAACATAAATTTTTCATTTTTTTTATATTCAGATTTTTTTTATAGGTTTAAAGGGGGGCGCGACCAAAAAAGTTTGAGAACCACTGGTCTAAAGTTAACAGACAGTGTTTAGTGCAGTCCACATGTTTACATATGTTTATTACAGTGAATAAAAGCGGTGTGGTAAAGCAACATATTTGTTTTTATATTTCTGCAATCTACTTTAGTTTGTGTGATTTGTTACTGAATTTCATATTAATGTTTACACCAGGCTTATTTGTCAGTGCTTTTTGTCATAATTATTACATGCTTACAAGGTTGGAAGTTCAACAAATCAGTCAATATGCTGTGATTGTAGTGATTGTAAATAAAAATGTCATATCAATTCATGCATCACCTAATTTCATCATAACATATAGGCCTGGCCTACAGAAAATAAAATGTGTTTAATCTATCTAATAGTGTGTTGGTCATAGCCTACTATACAATGATTTATAGCTTGTCTTTGTTGAATAATACAGAACATAAAGAGCTTTAAAAAATAATTGCATATTAAATCGCAATATTGGTAAAAAAAATCGCAATTAGATTTTCCAAAATCGTTCAGCCCTAATCTGAAGTGGAATTTAGATGCATTTACACAGTTTAATGCTTTAAATTGCAATTACAAATGCATGAATAATGTTTTGAAGTATTAAACACAAAACGTTGAATACTGATATTTGAAATTATTTAAATAAAAAGAGAGCCTACTTTAAATGTGAAATAAAAATCGCCAGTAGGTGGCAGCAAGTCACTGTTAATAAGTGAGTCATTGCAATTGGATTGAACCGAATCATTTAAACTTGATTCATTTAGGAACGAAACACCGTAATGTTGCTCAGAGACGCAAAACAGCATTGTGGCTGTCTTTGGAATTATTTTTGTCAAAATAGTGCAAAAACAGGAATTATGGTGTCTAAAACAAGTCTCTTGTTGTTCAATATCAGAATCAATATCACATTGGTAATCATGGTATTTTTTGGGGGGGGGGGAAACGGTACTCTTTGTGTGAAATTTATTATATGAAGTGGTATAAATATATATACATTGTCTGCCCCTGTTTATTCTAGATGTATTTTAATAGATTGAATCATATGCAACAGCCTTCTACGGACACCTTGGCAATTGAATCGCCATTGGCTAGAAGATTCTTTAGTTTACTCGCCAGACTGATTTTTTTACTTAAATATTATCAATATTCGAATTTAAAAGGCATAATTTCAGTTAGGGGGGAAAAAGCTTATGACTTCTCTCCTGAGGCCACAAGAGGGCGCATTGAGCAAAATATTATGCACGTTTCTTCAAAGCATAATAAAATAACACGACTATCTTTGAAAAAAGTGCATAATGTTTTTAAATCTTATATAATTAATAAAGTTGCTTAAACAATTAGAAACAAAACCGCATCATGCATGTATAGTTTAATACAAAGGACCGAAAACCAGTCACAAAGAGTACTTCCTTCATTTAAAAACTTGGGGAAAACCGCCATAAAGTATTGAGACATGTTTTTTTAAAAGTTGAACTTACATTAATTTTACATAGCTTTCTAAACATGCGACTCTCTCGTGCGAGACGCTAGTGCAACGGTGATAGATGTCCCTCTAGAAAATGCGATAAATATGCATTCTGTGTGAACGGCTTGGTTTCGGTTTTGACATAAACAACATCTTCCCTCGCATTTATTGTTCTCTTTTTCTGCAATATTTTGAATGGACAACGCAGCAGCGCCGCATCTAGTGGGTTCAACTGGATAGGCTAACAAAAGCATTAAAATGCAATGACACTTACATCGTCGTCGCATTTCGTGCACCACTAATAATACTGCCTGATGCACACCTAAAATTCAAATGCAACGTTTTTGCATTTGAATGTGGATTTTTATTTTAAATTCGACGAATATTCGACAGCCCTAGTAACCATGTATGAATGCATATTAGTCATTTTAACTGAACTTAGGACTGGTGGTGGTGCTTATTTGGTCATTCAGCGTTTCTGTAAAAAATGGGAAAAAACCAACAATGATACTTAAACGATAATAATAATACGAATTCTAAGAACAATATAAAACACACTAAGGATTAACTGATGTGTCGTGCACCTTTACACTAGAGTTCACGGTATGTCAAATACAGGAGCGCTGCACATCCATTGAGATGAACTGAAAAATAGCACAGAACGCTTGACGGATGAAACTTTGAAGCGCTCAGTCAGTGTTTTCAGCGAGTGAAAATATATCTGTGCTTAACTTATACTTTTTCTCCAACTCACACACTGGCGAGTAAAATCTGAGAACTTATTAGCCAGTGGCTAATATTAGACATCGTTTAGTCGTATATACGAGTGATTTACTCGCAATGTAGAGGGTTGTTCAATAAAAGAAAGCACTCTAAATGCACACACACATAGGCTAGTCTAGATTTCACTTAATGTGTCGTGCACTCTGTAGGGGTGTTTTAAATGTTTTTTGGCAAAATACTCAATGTCAAATTGCACATCGTTACAACTAGGGCTGCACGATATATCGTTTCAGCATCGATAACGCGAGGTGCGCATGCGCGATAGTCACATCGCAGGATGTGTGATGTTTATACTGAACGTTTTATTTATTCTGATCATTTTCTTTGCTCTCACACAGACACGGTGTCTACACCGGACGCGACAGCTGTACAGAGATACCCATTTTAAATAGATTTAGTAGCAGAGCTACTGCAAGGGATTGTCAGTGCTGGAAATCCATTTATCCTTTGTTGAAACTTCCATGTCATCGTGGAGAGCACAGGTCACAGTCACTTAGCAGCTGCAGACGCCACGAAAGTGCAAGCTCCCGAGGGCTTTGGAAAGAAGGAGAAAGCGGCGTGACTGGCGTTTTGCACGCGTTTTTAGGCACAACATGTGAACGGCACCAAAGTCTGTCTACCCTGGATGCGAGTCAAAGAAACCTTTGCCAATCATTTGAACTTTGTGTCAGTACGCCATAAATATAACGAGGCAGCAGTGTACTGTCGGGGATTTGTCGTGCCGTGTAGTTCCAGTGTAGTCAGTCACACACAGCATCACTGATTATAATGGGTTCTATAGTATTTTGTGAACTATGAACTAACTGCATGTTTATTTTAAATGTTTTTTTTCTGTT